GTATCCCAGACTGGCATCCAGCGTGGAGGACCCACCGCTGGTGTCGGCAAGTGCAGCTGGTATCCCTAAACCAGCGCTCTTAAGCCCTCCAGTTCCTGAACTGTTTCCCCTGTCTGTAGCGCTTTCCACAATGGGGATCGCTTGATGGTGTATTTGGGCTGCGTACACCACCACTGAAACTTTAGAGACGGCGGCGGCCACTGCGATGTCTCCCAAGGTGGCGGCTGATGCTGCAGATCCTTCCGAGGTAGAGGCACACGCTGCCATGTTCCCCGAGGCGATGGCGCCCGCTATAGCTCCTCCAGATGTGGCGGCCCATGCTGCAGAACCTCCCGAGGTGGTGGTGCTCGCCTCAGCTTCTTGCACGGTGGTGGTGCCCAGCAACGCACCTTCAGCCTGTCTTGTCACGGTCAAAGGAACCATTTCTGAACTCTCCCCGTATCCCGATGGTCCTACTGTAGAACCTCCAGAGGTGGCGGCATCCGCTGCAGAACCTCCAGAGGTGTCAGTGGTATCCACTTATGAACTCTCGTCCTGTTCTGTTCCGGCCAAGGAGGCCATCTATGAACTCGCTACCTGTCCTGTGACGGCTATGAAGGCCATCTGCGAATCCTCGTCCTGTCCTGTCCTGGCTATGGAGGCCATTTGTGAACTCTCTGCCTGTCCTGTCAAGGCTACGGAGACCATTTATGAACTTTTATCCTGCTCTGAACCTGCCGAGGAGGCCATCTGTGAACTCTCGTCCTGTTCTGAATCAGCCATGGAGGCTGATTGTGATCTGTCTGTCCATCTAGATGCTGAATTTGAACTCTCTGTCTTGTCAGTTTCTGTCAATCAGTCTGATCATGAACTGTCAGTCTGTCCTAGATCAACCTTTGAATCAGTTTTTGAATTGTCTGTCTATCCCATTTTCCCCAATGAGTCTGTTGATCCATCTGTCTGTCCAGTTCAAAACAAGGAACCTGTTAGTTGCCCCATTAGTCCACTTTTGAGCCCAGAAACCATAAATGCATTCCATGTTTGTCCCGTTAACCCTGTCACTGCCATAGAGACAATTCATGAACTATCTGCTTGTTCTGTTCCCCCAAATGTGTCTGAATTGTCTGTCTTGCCAGTCCTAGTTTGGGAGTTTGTTTATGAACTGTCTGATTGTCTAGTTTCAGTCCGTAAGCCTGGTTTTGAACTATCTGCCCACTCAGTTGTCACCAGAGAAAATATTGAGGAACTTCTTGTGTCCCCTGCCTCGGTCCTTGAGGCCGTATATGCTCTCTCTGTTTCTTGTGTCTCAGTTTTCCCTAGGTTCCAGTCTTTACAAGGGGTTTATGCTCTGTCTGCTCCACTGTGGTGGTTTTCTGCTCCGCCTGTTTTGTCTGCTTCTCCGTGGTGGTCTGCTGTCTGGCCCTGGTGGTCTTCGGCTCCGCCCTGGTGGGCTTCTGTCCCGTCTGCTCCGCCCTGGTGGGCTTCTGTCCCGTCTGCTCCGTCGTGGTGGTCTTCTGCTCTGTCTGCTCCGGCCTGGTGGTCTTCTGGTGGTTTTGAATTACTCTTCTGTCTTGTCCTCAATATACCTGTTTGCCATTGTCTGACCCATGCCTGTTTTATGACCACGTCTCTGTCTCCTATTAAAGCTTTGCAAATGGATCCGCAAGTCTCATGTCTCGTTCACCCCGTAACATGAACATCCAAAAAAGTGCACCTTACTGCAAAGAGTACAATACAGAATGTCAAACAACCACTGGTTGGTGCTGACTTGCATCTTCTGACTGATTTTTGAAGGCAGCATATGTGTGTCCTTTGCTGCCTATAATATCCCACAGTCCTGTATGCTGCATGTGGATGAAGCGTTTTTCAGTGCTAGAGAGGGCCTTAACCCTAAAACAGGCAAGAGTGGAAAATTATCAGCAAAAAAACATTTCATGTCACTTTTTTTATCATCTGGACTTAAGTAAAACATATTCAAATAATTTTTTTAATATTTTATATA